TTCTGCCTGAGACAGTTTCGCATACATTACGTCATAGACCATATAAAACAGACGGCTTCTGCGGCTTCAATCTCATACATATCTATATAGCCGTCAACGATGATGTCACGAGATAATTCTTCACGATGATGCGACAGAAAAAAATGCATAAAAACACTCACTAATTCGTTGTGTAGTTCTGGGCACAACCTGCATAAATTTTGACCCATACGCGACATTATGAAATTGCATTCTGCGACCTTCGATTGAATTTCGAAAGAGCAAGCTATAAATGCGAATGTGTCGGATTGTTACACGGAATTTACTGTACTTTCCGGCTGACGTAAACTTCCGGTGGAGCTACATAACATGAATTGATAGCACTCGAATGAGAAATGAGAAATTAAAGTCACATATACATATGAATGAATATAAAAAGAATGCGCAATAAATTAATGCTCGCAATGTATTCGTTTAAACAAGATAATGACTAGTAAGATTATTCATTTCCTTTATTAAAATCGTGTACAATATCATCTTTTTAAAAATAATGCTGTCGTTTTTATTTTCCTCGAACATATTATTTCATGGTGTTTTGTCATGTGTGTTTAAAAAAATTATAAATATCAATTATAAATGGTAAAAAATAATAACAAAAAATTAATTACTCTTAAAAAAAAACACTTTGACCGTTCAGGTTTTAAATAAACAAAAATTAACAGAAAATGGAAAATCTTTTGTTTCTAGACTTCTATAATTAATTCAAATTTTAATAGATAAAACTTTATATTTTTCATAAAATGATTATTATATTAAAAATTATATATATAAAGTATAAATAAATATAGTATATAATATATTAATACAATATATAATAATTTAAACAGTATATGTTTAAATAATTTTATTAAAAATAATATATATAACACAAATGTATGTATTTAGATGTATATTGTAAAATCGAAAATAGGAAACACCTGTCAATCAAGCTAACGATTATGTCACACCATTATGGTCGTTTGTCACAACTGTTATACCTGCGGCGAAATATCCTAGTAAGGTCACCCAAGTCTCATTGTGAAAAACGTATCGATTACACGGGTATCGTTGTAAAGACCTTCGGGCATCTGACCTTCGGTAGGTAGGTGCGAACTTCCTACGGGTACTGTAAACACGTGGAAACCGCCGACTAAACGCCGGCGCTAGAAAAAGGGTCCCACCGCGCGCGGCAGGCACGAAGAGGAAGAAAAGCCTTCAATAGGATGAAAGACGGCGAGGTCGGAATGTCAGTGGGACACGCCCATCGGAAGGTACTGTAATTTGATGCGTTTGTGCGACGCGGATGCGCGTCGGAAGCAGAACGGCGAATTTACGCGCGGTTATCTCTTTCTTCTCCTTCTTCTCCTTCTCCTCTTTCGCCTCGCCCTCTTCCCCCTAGCGTGAAAATTATCCACTCGTGTTACATCACGTAAAAAAAAAAAAAAAAAAAAAAAAAAAAAATACGATGCAGCGCGTCGATTGCACGAGAGAAATGCTATCCGATCGGAGACACGATACGCGATGTAAACGCGCGCGCACACGTGGTGTAAATATCGCGCGCGACTGATCAAATCCCGGGGCTGTAAAAACGAATCCCTGAATCCCGGGATTTCGAATGAGCAAGAAGAGCACCTGAATATATTCGCGTCCCTTGTAATTTTGACTTTTGCCCGCGCCTGGTCGGACGAAATATACACGTTTCACGGCAACTCGCGTGTGAAGCCCGGATTAAGATCAAGTGAACGAGCAGGTACGATCACAAATAAGACTCAACGAATATCAACGAATGAAGATGAAAAAAGCGTTAATTATATTAAATTGTTTCGTTTTTAACCTTATAAAAATTTGTACACACAAATTTTATTAACCTTTTAAATAATGTTTTTCTATTGATATTTTCTATATTGATTTATTCGTTTATTTGACCTGCATACAAAAATGTTTAAGTTTGAAATTTGCTTTATAAATCCGCATTCTCAATTCTCAAAATCCATTTAAGTTAATTGGCGAAATTGGTGGGCAATTAAACATAAATGAGAAAATAAATGAAATACTATGTATTTATTGATAATTCTCGCAAATTAATATCATGTAATATTGTAATCGTTATAATCGCAATAATGACTCACTATCGATTAGCACGTATTGTCAATTGTCGTAATGATTCATCGAAAATATGATTAATTTAGAGAAGTAATTTAATAAAGAGAAATAAAAACTTGCGCAACAATTTTATATATATATATATATATATATATATATATATACATATACATATATACATATACATATACATATATGTATATGTATATGTATATATAGGTGTATATATACATATACATTAGAGCAAAATGCATATCTTGCAGTTAAAACAATAAAAAAACATTTGTAAACCAAATATTCTAAAAAAATGATTTTAAAATTATCGCAATTTACGAATAAGTTTTATCTGATAAAAAAGATCCAATTAAAAGACATTTGTTTTAATTCTACTTAACTTATATATGTTTCTATCTTGTTCCTTCTTTCTCATTTCAAAACGCGAACGCATATACAGTTGAAAAAAATTAAAAATTAATTTAAAAAATTTTAAAAATGAGACAAAAATTTTTAAATAAAAAAAAATGAAATATGAAAAAGAGTTAACGCGGAAAAGTGTAATTAATGAACAACCTGTCAAGAACAAAGATTATGGAAGCCTTCAAAGCGCTTTGAAGAGCAACTGTTGCGATAACGAAATCATACATACTTTGAACGTCGTTTCCAACTGCAACTTAAAACACACTGTCGAGCCTTTTAACAATTTCGACCAAGTTTCAATCACTACTCCAGTCTTCCAGACACGATGCGTCTCACGCAGCCTTAACAAACTCGCAAGCGTGCGATATCTTTTTTCAACACAAGCCGGGGAGCACGTGCAGGCACCTTCGGTCGATGCAAATTCGCGGAATCGCCTGCAAGACACGACATTCGCGGAATCCGACGCGAGGGTTTTAGGTTACGTACGGCGTTTCGGCGCGATCGCCAGCGGACAAATGAAGCGCGACGATGGTATCGCGACGAGAACGAGCGAGCGAGCGAGCGAGCGGACGAGAGGGAACGACACGTGAGGAGAACGTGAATTTCGAAACGCGGTTATCGCGGCGATAATTCACCGACGAGCGCGATAACGATAATCGTTGGCGAGCTGACGACGAAAACTCGAGCAGCCGCGCTCCCATTTGTCCACCAATCTGAGGCTCGTGAGCGACTAACTTCAGACGGGACGCGCGCCTGTCCCCGATGTCCCCTCGACACTCTCTTTAACAGGATATACATATATCTCGATTTCACGCGCTTGAAATTACAGACTGCAAGCGCGATACTTTCTATATCGCGTAATTTCAGACGCGCTAGACCTTTTTGTTTTCAAATCACGTTCCTTTCCTTGGTGCCTTTTTACTCTCTACGCCATTTATATATTAATTTAAGATTTATATATTCGAGATTCTCGGTCTCTTTCTCGGTATAAATGTTTGATGCAAATCATTCGATCGAAATTAAATGTAAACGGTCACAAAATCGACAACCAATCGATATCGTGCAAAAGCGAGAAGTGACACTCGCGAAATAATTCAAATATTATTTTTTGAGGTCGAAATAAATTATAAGCGCACGCGCGTGTGTGTGTGTGTGTGTGTGTGTGTGTGTATTTTCATGCGTGCACATTTTGCTTATACAGTGTGTTCCAGAGATATACGCAATTAAATATTATTTCTTCTCTTTTTCATACATTATTTTCTATTTGCTCTCAATTAATCATTCTTCAACATTAATATATTTTCTGCGTATATTGGTGGTTTAACATTTAACATTTAACTGTGACTCGATATGAAAAGTGTCAAACTGTCGACATAAAAATCATTCAATCAAATTTATAAATATCATTGTATTCTTTTAATAGTATTTGCGATGCAAATCACAATTGGATACCACGTTTAACTTTTATAGTTATATATACTTGATTAAAAATACGTATTTGATACGAATATAAAGATCAATTGCGATGTATTTTCGACTTGCAATTTCACATTTGACTTTTAAATTTCAATTCGAAACCTAACTTCGCAAATAAATTTATATGAAAATTGGAGTAAAGTAAAATCGGAGTAAAATTAAAACGGACTCTCGGACGGATTTAGATCGCTTTAATTGTGAAAGTGTTATATTAGATAATCCTGACAGGAACATATATAAAGTAAGAAGAGTTATTCGGAATTAATTAACGTTTCGTTCTAACGATTCTTTATTCGGTTAATCCCTTTTAACGAATATGAATAAAAAAGCGATAACTAGTTGTCGCAACATCATACTTTCGCGGATAGAAATTAAAATTTCTTCTTCGACACACTTCTCCGAACATCTATCGACAGTAAAGATATATCCATTCGGTAAGTAACTTGCATCTTAAGACTCGTATTCTCATTAGTTGCACTCGCGATTCGACGTGACATTAATATTTACCGTGCCAGAAACGTGCTTCCGCAAAATTCGCAAGATATCGACTACGAGATTATCGCGTACCCAATCTAATTTAATTCAGCCCTTCAATTCTTCGCTAAACTTCCCGATGGATCGCGAATAAGAAAGAGTTTCGGACGAGACAGTCGCGACGTAGAAATGCGTCTCGAACCGCGTGACGTCATCTCGCGCGCGCGACGCATATTCGTGCGTGTATTCGTAAAATATACACACACGTTACTATTCGCATAAAAACGAACGATACCATATACGCGGCACCCACGCGGAAGATGTCATCTATCGCGAGATCTTACTCATCCCGCGAATCGCCTTTTTATTCTCTCGTATTTACGACCGAACGCGTCACACCCACAGCATCCGTCACGCGCGCACACACGCACACATACGCACACGCATCGAGAAACATAGACAGGTGCCTATTACGTAGGTAAACCACAAATGGGAAACTCTTTCGTATTTACCTTGCTCTGGAACACGCAGTAGGTTCGGTGGGCACGATGTTGCCGCGATGTTGTCGATCACCTTGACACGGGAATCGTTCTCGATAACTCTTTCTCTCTTCGGGATCTTTCGTCACCAATGAACAAAAAAAAAACACCAAATAAAAACTTCTCCTGCCGGCCACTTGTATCCCGCGAGTATGTATCGAACACCACTGTTCCGAAAACTGCGTGTCTCTGGGGACTCGTATATCTTTATCGCACACTTTACTGCAAAATCCCGCTTGTACTTTTCACGAACACGACGCGTGCACGGACGACGGTATGTTACGGTATCCGTGCGAGTTGTATCACGAATGAAAAAAACGACCGTTCTCGCTCTCTCTCTCTCTTTCTCTCTCCCTCTCTCGCGCGTTAGCCGGTTCGCGTTTGCTGAACCGCCGTTGCACCAACGTTCCAACTCATAATCAGCTTTCCCCGATCACACGAGCTCTCTCGGCTTTTTTCTCAATTTTGCGCGCGCTGCAACTTTCTCTCTCTCTCTCTTCTTTCCTGGTCTCCTCTCGCGTTGTTCACTTTCTCGCTCTTCCTTTTCTCGCTACTTTCTCTCTCTCTCTCTCTCTCTGGCGCGCGCGATGCGTTTCCGACGAGCCGGAAATGTCAAACTTCAGCGGGGTTTGAACGTCGGTACGAGCCGCTGACGGCGAGGCACGCGCGACCTGGACGAACGTTGCGGCAACACGGCGACGGCGACGACGACGGCGACGGCGACGGCAACGACAACAGCGTGGGTGACGACGAGGACGACGACGACGACGGCGGCGACGTACTACGTGTCGCGACGATGACGACGGCAATAACAGCGGCAGCGACGGCAGCAGCTGCGGCAGCGGCGGCGGCGGCAGCAGCAACGACGGCGGCAGCGGCGGCGTCGGCGGCGGCGGCGGCGGTGGCGGCTACGGCAATGGCGACGTACGTCGGGGGCGACGGCAAACACGACGACGTCGTTGATATACAACCGGCGCTTGAACGGAAACGGGTGTGTATTACAAATGCAGCTGACGGAAGCCTCGATGCGATTTTTTTTTGAGAGAGGGTGAAGAGGTAAGGCGAGCGATGCTGGTTAGGCGACGGGATTGCGACTGCTTGCTTGCTAGCCGCTAGCGGGGGCCTGGCGCGACAGCGACTGCCCGACGGCAGCGCCCCTCTCTCCCCCCTCTCCGGCTCCAGCGAGCCTCCCCTCCATCGCGCGTCTCGCGACTCTCTCCCCTCGTAGTTCGCGGACCGTCTCGCTCCCGCGCTAGATCGCGCGGCGTCTCGCTCGCGCGCGCACGCGTCTCTGTCTCTCTCTCTCTCTCTCTTATCGTCCCGCCGCATTCCAACGCTCTCCATCGCATCGGAGCATCTCGCTCTCTTCGCTGGATATCCACCCGCTACGGTACGTTCCGTCCCTTTTTCTCTCTATCCAAAGCATTCGCGGTCTCTCGCTCGTGCCTACCGGATAACTCCGCTTCTCTCCTTCCTTGTCCTCCCGCTGCTACGCGCTTCCTCTCTCCTTCCGACCCGAATCTCTCGTCTCGCTCTCGAGGTATCTCTCTCGCTCGCGCCTACATCACGGATATGTCTTTTTTCCTCCCCTGTTCTCTCCCGCTGCTCCGATGTGTCTCCCCTCTTCCTTTCGCTTTTGCCCTCTTTCTCCCGCTCGCGGCCCAGCAACTCGCGCCGTCTCTCTCGCCCGCTCGCGCGGTACCACGTCGCTGCCACCGCCGTCGCCGCCACCGCCACCACCACCATCATCGCCACCACCACCTCCCGACGACGACGAGGCCACCGACCGCCCCTCTCCGCGGCTCGATAAACCGCCTCGACGCGCATGCCCGCGTTTTCCCTTCCTTCCCCTTCCGCATCCTCTCGTTTCCCATATGACCGTAACTCCATCCTCGTCCCGTTCTCGCCGCCTGACGACCCAGCCTGTCCGCTCGCTCGCTCATCTCGCTGGAGAACCGGCAATGGAGTTAGGTTAGGTTAGATTTGGTCGCGCATCGCCTGCTGACTATCACGCTCGCCTCGCCGTTTGCGCGGGCGGAGGGGCTCGGTCGCTCGTCCTCTCTTTCTCTCTCCTTCTCGCCGCCGCGTCGTGGCATCTTTCTCGGGCATCTCTCGCGATCTTCTTCCTTCCGCCACTACCAACACCACGAAGGAGAGAGAACTTGGCGTGTGCGCGCACTGTACGTCGCGGAGTAATCTTGTTTCACCGCGCGCGCGAAAAAGAGCGCAAACAAAAACGAGAGAAAAAGTGAGAGAGAGAGAGAGAGAGAGAGAAAGAGTGATAAAGTCCGAAAGCGAGAACATAGCGAAGAATGCGCGCGTGAAGAAGGGAAATTCTTTATACCGATGCCGAGATGGTTTAAGCGCGCAGCGGGAAAAAAGATTCTCGTAGACAGATTTTATATTCGCGCGTGGAGAGATGTCGCGAGGTCTGAGTGCGTTCGAAATCGAATTCGATTCGATTCCGATGCTCCGCTCGATGAACGAACGCGACACTCGACCGAATTCCGGCGAGTCGCTTTATTGACTCCGAAATTCGATCGGATAATTCGCGCGCTCTCGGATTTCCTGCAACTGTCCTCCCCGCACGAAACCGTGTTGTCGGCGGGGGGAGGAGGGGGCATATACGCGAAACGCGCGACGTAACGTCGCGTCGACATTGTTAGATCTCTCTATCCGCTCTGTAATCTCGCTCTGCGGTATTCGCGTGTGGTTTAACGCGGCGCTTCGAAAAACCTTCCGATTCACATCCGATCCTCGCTGGAATATCATCTCCAACGCTTGATTGGTTCAATGAAATCTTCTCTCGCAAACGCGATATATAGAACGACCGAGCGAAACATTAATGTCTTTAGTTTGAAAGTATTTGAGAATACGAAGAAGGGAGCTTCCTCTTTAAATGATGAAAAATCCGCGGACAAGAAGCGGTAAGTTACTCTGACTTGATCTCAATTATTTAATCGATTTAATAAACGAGAAAGCTTATTATCGATCGTATTTTAATGTCGCGATATAAAATATATTTCAGTATGTCGAAAAATTAATCGTCGAACTTAACCTTAGTTCATAAATCTAGATACAGTCGATTGGTTTTCCTTCGTTTTTATTTGATTTAGTTGTTTAAATTCCTTTAAATATACCGCGCGACTCTGTACGATACATAATATTATAAAATAAATGACATCATGAATATGCAACTCATGAAAATTCATAGAACTACTTAAGTGTTAACACGTTGAATGCCGGCAAAGTTGTAAGTTTTCTATGCAAAGACTTGCCTACTATCTAGGTACTACAATTTTGTCTCTATAAAGAATTTCAAATTTGTATTTATGCGCATACAAATACACAACGTTTATGAAGATTATTAGATAATTATTGAATTTTACTTAAACGAATAATTTTGCAAAGAAATCTAATGTTTGAAAATAAATTTTTTCTTTTATTAACTTTTTATTATCTATAATATTTTCGCCATCGTATGTTATATTATAAAATACGAAAGGCACAATGAATCCAATGAATTTTTATTCGTTAAACTTAAGATTTTTAATTCTTGCGATTTAACAAATGTATATATCTGTGTGTGTGTGTGTGTAGGTGGGATCAAAATTGTGTCAACAACAAATATTGAAGGCAAGTGGCACTCAATCAACGAGTCCCAGAGACTACCAGCTATTACGGACCCGATTCTACTGGCTAACTGAAGGTAAGCAAAAGTTTTTTTGAATCACAATATTTTTATAGTATAAATAAAGAAAGAATAAAGCAAATTAAATTGATCAACGAGAAGCAATAAAGCGTCAAAAAACTAAAATATATTTATATAAATTGTCAAACCGACATAAAAATATACATCAAAATATATATCAAGAATATATATAAAAATATATCAAAATTTGCGAAATATTTCTTTTATCTCTGAAATAGTTTCATAAGTAAATTGATGAAAAATAACAGATTGAAAATAGAGGAGAAAAATGTGGAGGTGTTAAATGATAATCCACGCAAATATCCTGCGTGTCCACGATATCCTGTGTCTTGTACAAAGCTGGAAAAAGATCCTTCGAGTCCGATATCGAACCAGATAACTACGGTGTATTATTTGAGTTGGCACCTCTTGCATACACACACAACAACGTCAGTATCTTTCACACGTGCCTTGTTTGCGTGTTCACGATTATCGTCGCGATGTCGCAACAGAGATCGGTCGCACTCTATCCATGGTTCATCTTGATTCGGTGCCAGTCTCGTCCTGTCGATCTAAAGCGCAGTGAAAGCAGACGCTGGCTGCCTGACTCTAATGGATCACCCCGTGCTTCCTTTGCATGTGAACTCTCGCGTATCGGCTTTTACATCTGTCCTTTAACCCGGTGACATGAAATATATTTCGTTCTATTATTCTTTTCGTACAATATATCGTGGACACGGTAACGAAAACGATAATATTAATTTTAATGATAGATCTTGTGACCAATTTAAAATTGATTTTTTTAATTATCATATCTTGGTCAATATATTGTCATATAAATATAACGAAATCTTATGTTTAAGAATGTTTATGATTAAAGAAGTTTGTTTTCTTATTCGATAATTTTTATTTAAAATTTAATTATCAAGATTTAATATCGCAGAGTAGCAATTAATAGTCTAATATATTAGGGCTAATATATTAATTAATACGGCAGAGCATCAGCATGCCTCTTTCTAATCGATAAATGGGAACGTTTGATAATTAAGGAGAGAGAAATTTCGCAAGAAAATGGAAATGAAGCACGTAAATGACTGTCATGCTTCGCGAAATTTCTAATCTCAGCTCGTTGTTACAATCGGAGGAACGTCTATTTGCTTTCGTGTTACATCTGGTGAGTATCTCCGGTGCGAAACTCTTTCTTGAGTGAGTTTCGATATCGCAGCGGAAGCGGAAACGCGCCATTCCTGCGTCGCTGACTCTGATAAGCCCAGCTACGTCTACCTTGAGATAAATACACTTTCCATTTTCAAAACCCATATACCAAGCTATAGGAGCGGAAGTACATGTCTGCACGAAAATTCACCTTCCGTTTTGTCTGCACTTTTTATGTTTGTCGTAATTTAATCGAAACGATTGCAATTTCTTGAACTTCGATAATCTACGCGTACTTGAGTAAATATTCCACATTTAATTCCTGAAGAGAGAGCTTTAAAATTCAATTTTAATTTATTTTGGAATAAATTTTTAGAAAAGATAAAAATTAAAAAATATAAAATTATTCAACAATCTTTTTCGTATTATAATATAATAATATCTCTTTATATTTTATCAATGAAATAAAATTTGATTGAACCAAAACGAAAATAATTATACAAAATTAAATAAAAATTATTTCTTAATATTTATAGATACAGAAAATCTTTTAGAATTAAGACAAACCAGTTAAACATGTGTTTCAACTTGTCCTTTGAATTTGTTTAAATTGATATCGGATAAATTTGAATTTAGATGAAATTAAAAATTATAGATGAAAGTATTGTTCGAAAATTATCATTCGATAATTATAATTCGATGTAACACGTACTATTAAATACATGCGTTTTTTCTATAAATTGGGTGTAAATTAATTGGAATATCACATAATCGATAAACGCGAAATTGTTTGGTTTTCGTCACATGCCGGAAAGCCTCACATCGTAACACTGAAAAATGAATAGCGAATTGGACGATCTATGCAAGGCAAGGCACGTACAAGCGTATAAAAGCGAAAAAGAGAAAATATAGATGGCAAAGAAATAGATCGTGGGAGAGAGAGAGGAGAGAATAGGTCGGGAGACGTGAGATAAGAAAAAGAGAAAAACGGAGGGAAAATGGAAGGGACAAAGGTAGCCGCCTAGGTGTGACACGAAACAACGAGAAACAGGGGGTACGAGGTGATATTTTTCATGAAGCCGAACCGAATAAATTTTTAACAAAAACTGCTGACTCGCCGCGTTACGCTTCTTTCTTTCCGTTTTCTCCTTTATAGCCAGCCGGTTACCATCTTTTTCTCTTTTTCTTTCTTTTACCCTCATTTCCCACGCATTTCGTTTCGAATACATTTGCCAGAGATACAAACGCTTATGGTATTTTGATATTATCGAGATATCTATGCTTTACCACCGATGCCTGATAATATTATCCACATCGATACCTGTTATTCAATATTAGCTGTATGTTGATACAACACTAGGAAGAGAGGCAGTAAATAGCAAGTAGGATATATCGAATCTCTCGTGGGCATAAATACGTTCCCTCGCAGTGTGACTTATAAGCATGATGCGATTTACAAATTCGCGTGAATATTTTACGTTGTACAAAAAAATGTAAGATTTCAATCTAAAATAAATTTGCGATATCAATACTTATTAAAAAATTATTGCTTCAATATTTGTGCTATTGCATGACGCGATCGCGTGTCGTCACGTGTCATGTGATGCTGTAGTTTGTGTTGGAAAGTTAAGCAGGGGCATCGATTTTAAAACGCACGCCCTATTGTAAAGCCACGTGTCAGAATTATACTTGGTGACCCGTTTTCAACCATTTCAAGAAAGTACGATCCTATCTATAAGGATACGTTTAATTTTATTTAATAAAATCGTGTATTTTCGCGATATTAAATTAACTCAGATTTCATAGAGAAATATTTTTAAACATCTCATTGTGTCATGCGAGAATAGAAATGTAATGAAATTAAAGCTTTAATCGATATAAAAATTTGACGTGTGTCTGATAAATATATCTTTACAATCTCTGCAATCCCTTTCTCTCTCTCTCTCTCTCTCTCTCTCTCTCTCTCTCTCTCTCTCTCTCTCTCTTTCTTCAAAAAATACATATACGCTTAAAATTATTCACTTTTTATCATATTAATCAAAATGTTTAATGTTTAATGTCATAATATCAACAATTCTAACCGACTAACGTATTTCCCATTTTCATGTAAATAAGATTTTATATGTATCACAACATGTCGCATTATGCATGCGACATGTTGTGATACATATTAGTAACTCATTACACGTCGATGCGTATGCGCTGCTCGAGATAACAATGTTGTCCTGGAACGTATAGGCTAAATACTGTAGGCAACAGCACAATTCTGTAAAAAATTTGCAAGAAAAATATTATGCTAAAGAATCAGTTTATTTTCATTTTGCCAAACGATACAATAAATTTTTTTCGCTATACTACAAATGCATTACATGCAAGGTGCATTGAAGCAATCATTCAACATTCCATATTACTATTACTATTTATTTATTATTAATTAAGTATTATATATACATATATTTATGAGTGGCATAAATGTAACAAATTAATTAACATGAAAGAGTAGGCAACTTATAAACATGCAATTTTTGATGAAAGCGATGACTATAACTGTGTTGGTTATTCTATAAAAGAAAGATATTGTCGAATCTATTCTGCATCGTTGCTACCCTCTTGAAGCAAACGCTATCACAGTAGCACCCGGCCTGTTAGAAGGATAAAATATTCCATGGAACGATCGGGAGAATAGTCGAGTAATGAGCGCATCTTCTACGCACGAAAAAAGAAAAAGGGATCGTGGCGACAGGAAGGAAGAGACGGGGGGGGATTGAGAGACGTAACGAGAGGGAGATTTTCGACAACGTACAGCACGAATAGGGAAACAGCGATTCGATCTACACCCTAGGCACCATTTTATTCTGCCGGGATGTAGCTCGAATCCAGGACAAGCGTAACGCAGAGCGATATCGAGAGGCGAGACGAGCGCAAAGAAATAGTTGGAGAGAGGGAGAGAAAGAGAGAGGAAGAGTGGCCGAATGAAAGAAGAAGAGTGTAAAAACCCCCTCGGGGAATTCGACTCAGCATCCCACGATATCTACATCTATTTTTGGCCACGGTCAGCTGTAGTTGCACGGCATTAGCATAATGAAGACGGTTCGCCTCCTCTCGTTCTACCAACGCTACGCGTATCCGTCTCTCGCAACACATACGCACACGCTCTCGTACGCACGCATACACATAGACATTCTTTCTCTTTCTTGTCCTATCTCTTTTTTTTCTTCCATTTTGCGTACGAGAGAGTGATCCGGTAACATCGTTGACACCGGCGCTCAGAAATGCTGCGAACGCACTTGGCAGCGCCAAGTTACACAAGCGCGGAGACTCCAGTCGGAGAAAATATCGGGATGAAGAAGGAGAAGAGAGACAGAAAGAGAGAGAAAGTGTGTGCGCGAGTCGGCGGAAGTCGTGGCCTAACAGAACCAGTTTTACCCGCTAATCTGAACGGTGTCCTCTCTATCTCGTTCTCCTTGTTTTGATTACGGTTTTTTCGCGATCGCACGATATTATGTTCGTTGAAACTTGCAAGCAATGATAGGCAACTACAAATTATTAAAAATAATTATTTAAATAGTTGTTGTTTGTTTTACACAAGAAATATATATTTTATTCAAGAATTTACATATTTTTAACGAGAATAACAAATGTAGAGAAATACGTAGAAAATGTGATATTTATTTGAAACGTATAAAAATTTGAATTATTAATTAATAATAATTTTTAAATTGATCTCTTTCGTTTGAAAAGTAATATTAGAAGTTTACAAATTTTAAATTCTGATGAGATTTTCAAAAAAACATAATATTAATTTATTATATATAAATAATATATTTGTAATACAACAGTATAACTTGGCAAGATGATACAGT